TCTTTCATTATTTTTAAATTATTAATTTGCAATCGCAAGATTGCAAAATAGAAAAATATTATTTATTAAATTTTAGATATGTTCTAGGTAATAAAAAAAGAATCATTGTCTTTATCCTTTTTAAACGACACTATGTCTTTATCCTTACGTCACATTTCGTTTCACATTTAATATAATTTTTGTTTTGAGTCGTAATTATTTTTTATAGATATTATAACTATGCGGACTCTTTCCTGAAATTATAAAAGAACTTATAAGGTATTTTAATTTTTGTGTTTTTTGGTTATCACGAAGTTAAAAAAAAATAAGATTCCATTATTCAAAATCCTTTAAATGTGGTTAAAATATTATTTCTTTATTACCTACATTGTGAAATTGCTATAAAATTACCTTGTCATTTGACGAAATAAGCCCGCGATTAATTAAAAACAGGCCCAAGTTTTGCAGAGTGTTATAATCCCTGGATACGAGACTATGTTATGCCCGGATCAAATCTGTCTACATTCAGCTAATACCACTTTATATAACTGAGTCACTGAAATGTTATTTATATCTGTAGGTTTAAAAATATACATTACAATAATTTCAAAAATCCTACCTAATTTGTGACAGAGCGGTAAATCGATGGTAGCGCCATTTTGTTTTTTACTCCATCATAAAAGTTGTATTGACAATTTTTGGCAGTATTATTATATGTAATTTTAAGGGCTATAGCAAGTTGTAAGCATTGCGACCTTAAAATATCCATTGTGCCTCTCTGTCAAAACTATATTATCTTCTTCGTAGCTGATTATGTGACATCTCAGATGTATATTTCGTTCGTGGATTAGTGGTCCATATTCACTCAGATGATGATTTGGTGGTTCACGGTCCTAATATTAATATCTGCAAATGTCAGTATCACTTATGTCACTTCATATAGTGTATGTCACATATATGAGATATTTCTCATAATATTAAGTTTATTTAATTTGCTGTGGTCGGACTTGTAGATTCAAGAGCTCTTCAGATAATTTTTAAAAATTGATAGCAGAGTGACCTGATACACATTTAGAAATAATTTCATCCATTTCATTCAAGTTGTCAATGTAGTCTTATTAATATTCAAATTGGTAGTTTTAGTTTATTGTGTTCAATTTTATGGCATTGAGTGCCGCTTGAATTATAATCCCAAGAATCATACTTTTGTAGAATCTCTATCTTTCACCGTGTATCCCACATCCTCCACTATGATCAATTTTCAAGCAATCTGTGAATCAGACCAGGTTTTTTGTTTTGCAGGTATCGTATGCTTCTGCCAATTTCCCTCTGCTTGTACTCCACACTTGTACGTTGTTGCTTCCTGGCAGGTTACACACACTGTTTTCAATTATTCCGATAAGCACGTGATTTTGATCGTGATTGCCTAAATAATGTAAAACCACCACAGGAGAAAGGTATCCACTGCATCGCTTAATGAATCTTATAATGGTAATTTCTCTGACTTTTATGTGTACATTTTCAACGTTTAAGAACAAATAATAGAAAACAAAAAACCCAGAGTAACATCAATCAAATAACGTTAGTATAATACCAATTTTATTAATACAATAGTGGCCGCCAGCGATTTCGTTCGCGTTTTCCATTATTTCTTCGCTCCTAATAGTTGCAGTGTGATGTTATATAGCCTTCCTCGATAAATGGTCAATTCAACACAAAAATAATTTTTCAATTCGAACCAGTAGTTCCTGAGATTAGCGCGTTCAAACAAACAAACTCTTCAGCTTTATAATATTAGTGTAGATATACACGGAAAATATCCAACAAATGAGAATTTCGTGGATAAATAAAATTTCAATAGAATATTACCAGGGATTAAATAAAAACAAGAGTAGTTTATCAGGGTGCTGTAATCCCAGGAAGCGGGGCTATGGCATGTCCGATACAGTTTGTTCACTTCACTCAATGGAAAAGTTTAATATTGAATATTGGCAACAGGATTATATAGATTTAAATATACGCCCCGAACTAGTCTCTTATAACGAATATGTTTAAAATCAATATAATCTTTGTTTTATTATTAAGATATCTAAACTTATGTGTTATTCGGTATCTTTTTCTTTAATATGACAGAAGCGATAACATGTGTATTAAATTTTCAAAAGAGTTAAATACGCTAGTGCTATTACAATATGATTTTTTTCTTGTTGTAACGTAGGTTTTATATTTTATTAATATTAATGGCTCTAATTTGTTTATTCAGTAATGATATGTCAAAGCATATGGTTTTTTGTATTTGTTGCACCGGTGCATTAATCACAAATTACATCAGACAGTGCTACATAGCGTACAATTCACGATTAGTCCCATCGTGAATTGTACACTCTGTGGCACTGCATAAAGAAATTGCTTCTGCTGACCTGCATAAATAAGTTGCTTAAGATAATCTTAAAATTGGAGATAAAAATAACTACGTTAATAAATGTTATTATTATTATTTAATAGCCCTATGGATAGTTAAGGAGCCATGACCCTCCACGCTGCCTAAATCGGATTGGAGGGTATTAACGACTGCAAATGCAGCCGGGACTAACGGCTTAACGTGCCTTCCGAAGCACGAAGTAGCTCGAGATAATAATTTTTTGGTTACCCATCCCGTAACCGACCCTTGCGAAAGTTGCTTAACAACAACAATGGCGGGACGCGACGCTTATCCTCTACGCCACCGAGCTAATTTGTCAGATGCGTATGAATAATATTTTGAAAATGGATCAAACAAACAATCAAATTCTATTTTTTTCTTAAAGTAGGAGAAAGTTCAAAAACGAAATCGGAAATCACGTAAATCACGTAATTGTTCAATTTGATACCAAACGTCTTATCGGTCGCTAACTGTTTACGTGTCAATGTCTTAAGTAATAGGTATTAAATATTAACAGTAGTTTCAGTATTTTTTACTAACTAAAAATAAATTACATTACGATGTTCATGGTGATCAAAAAACAACCTATTAATGATCATCATGTGATCATCATCCTTGAAGGTACTGAAATTATGGTAAAAATTGGCAAGTTTTTTTTTCAATATAGCTACATGCTGCATACGCTACCCCAAATCTCTGTGCACTCCCTTGCCCTTATCTTCATCCTTGTCATCATCTTAGAAAATGTTCTGTGGTATTTATATATACATGATTATGAATTACTATAATTATTCCGAGAAGGGAGTGGTGGCTGCAAAGCGTAACTTTGACTCCAAATTATCTTTAACAATTCAGTCTTGCCAAATAAAAAATATATAATTATTAGATTGGTTGATGTTTGTATTAAACTAGCTGTAACCCGCGGCTTTGCCATGGGCTACTGGGTGGTACACTGGGTACTGTGTACGCCTGCTATACTGTAGTCTTAATCTAATAATAAGTCACGAGCGAAATCGAAAAACAGTCCCCCCAAAAGTTTTGAAAGACATATCCAACAATACCTCACGCAATGTGAGGTAAAAAAAAAGTCATCCTAAACTTTCATGAAGAGGAGAGAAAATTCTTTTTTTTTGAATATTTTATTTTACCACTTTATCGGAGTGATTTAAGTGTAAACAGTAGCGGCAGTTAAATGTATCATTTTATTTTTTCGTCTGATTAATAATGACCTATTAAATTATGTTATTGGAAAAATCGCAAAATTAAAAACGCAAGCTATTTTATTTTATAAAAATCGGAAAAATACAGACTACAAACAACAAAAATAAATATCCCGTTTTATAAGTATAGTAGTGTTATCTAGTGATAAGGGATAAAACCAAGAGGCTCTGGCGACCGAAAATAACCATCTAAAATGCTAAGTTGAATCTCCTGGCTGATGGCGGGCAGCAGCGTCGTCGGTGCGAGACTCAGCTCTGCGCCCACCAACTCGCCTGCCCAGCGTGGTGAGGGCATAAACCCCTCACATGCAGCAAAGGGAATCAAGAACACGGCCCCCTGTTCCCGCCTGCCCCGCTATTCCAGGTGGGGTAGGGAGTATTAAGAATCTCCGAGCTACTGATCGCTGCCAAAACTTGACCTTGGCTACGTATACCGGACGCAGTTTGGGGCTGGATGACAGCTTGAACGAACTCGAGGAGGAATTGAAAATCGTCAATTGGCACGTTCTAGGGCTGTCTGTCCGAAGTCCGAAGGCAGGGAGAGAACACGATAACAATGGAATCTGGTCACATTTTCTACTTCCGAGAGGGAGATCAACTATCCCAGGCATAGGCTTTCTTTTCAACAAAGTTCTTTGCGACAACGTGTTGGAGATCTCCAGTGTGTCGACTAGGGTAGCGTACCTAGTACTTAAACTAACTGAAAGGTAGGCTCTTATAATTGTACAGGATATGCACCAACATCAACACACGATGAGATCGAGGACGATTAATACATACTACCATCAAGATCCACTTCACCATTATCATGGAAAATTTTGAATGCTAAATACATGGCGAATCACATACTGGACATGTGCACAGGAACCACGGGGGCAAATGCTAATCAACTTACTCAACAAGGAGGGGCTATTCTGTATGATCAGTTTCTTTAAAAAAAAGCCCTAGAGGAATTTGGCAAAATTCCGATGGTAGGATAAAGAACGAAATAGATATTATCATGACAGACAAGAAGCACATATTTAGGGATGTCTCCGTTCTCAATAGATTTTATACTGAAAGTGATTACGGACTTGTAAGAGGTACCCTAAATATCAAGTTTCAGATAGAGAGAAACCTCATGACGAGATCTGTTCTCTATCCAACGCTGCTCCAAGCCAATTATTGTTCCTAAGCAGTCTGTTTAGAACTAAGCAACCGATTTGCCGCATTGGTAACCAATTTTTGTCGAGGACCTTAAAGTAGTGTAGTAGGGATAAGTAGGAACTTTCTAGCGGGACTTGGAGCTGATCAAACTTCGTCGAGTAACACCGAGGACGAGTTTGTCAGATACGCGGTCGCTCCATTTAAACACCCGTAGATTGGTACGACGTGACCTTCGTACTTTCAACACCTTGCTCATACAAGAGGCTATTGAGCAAAATCGGGGGTTAAAAGTCTTTGTCAAAAGACGTGGAAAAACTCATCTGACAAAACTCAAACCTCAGATGGCAGGATCGTTACATCGTTTCCAGAGATTCTCGCTGAAATTGAAAACTTCTATGGCTGACTCTATAACTCGCATGCCCCAAATCCAAATCCAATGCAAATGATCCCAGAGCTTCACTCACGCGCCGTTTCACTGACGATTTTCGAGACATTAACGAAGGCAAAATTGCGGCAACTTTCAAACAACTTTTTTCGCCTTCCGCGGTCGTCGCAAGCAGACGTGCGCTTGTTGTCTATCATCAATTTTAATTATTATTATAATCTGTGCAATCTATAATAGCCCCTATTACATATACAGTGAATTCAGTTTCCATCAATTGTAAGTGTGATCTGTGTTCTCCACATACCTACAACTGTGAGGCGAAAAGGACAAATAGCCGTTTCCTTTCTTTTTTCTTTTCATTCACGCGCGCTATTAACCAACGTAAGATGAACGTCGTGCGCTCCCCAGGTAAAGAAATCTGCGGCTCAAGCCACGCTGGTTCCTTAACCGACCTCTCTAAATGCGACTCGTCCCCGCTGACATTGGACACATTGGTTAACACGCGTAAAAACAAACGTAAACTACCTGATTCAGACACTGAACTAAGACATGAACTCATGGATTTTCGCAACGAAATGATGGGATTTCTTCGTGAGTTTAGAAAGTCTCATGACGAGGACATGAACCGTATTAGAGATAATGTCTCCGAAATAAAAAATCAAGTCTACTCCATAAAGACCATCACGGATTCCATAATAGTTGAACATAATATCAACAAGACGAAATTGGATACACTGTCTGCTTCTATGGAATTTCATTCAAAGGAACAGGATGACATAAAGATCAGCTTCGGCAAAATATCATCGGAAATTAGACACCTGCTTAATATGTAACACGACCTCGCTGAATGTAAAAGCACAATTGAACGATTACAAAATGAACAATACATAACACAACAACGTGACCGCATTCACAACCTGAAGATCTGTGACGTTCCAGAACATGCTGGAGAGAATGTAGCTCGATATCTAATCTCCATCGCGAACTGTGTCGGGTTAAAAGTCTCTGAAGACGACTTGATACATGCACACTGAGTTCCGACCCGTGTACCTAATAAACCAAAGAATATCGTCGCAAAGTTCAATTCACTTCAATTAAAGGATAGCATCTCAGGCATCAGAAAAAGGAAAGGCATCACAATAGCCGACATCGGTATCGCAGGCGACCCACGCAAAATATGCGTATGTGAACATCTAATACCTCAATATAATCAACTCCATAAAAAAGCTAGAGAAGCAGCTGTAGTCGCTAACTTCAAATATGTTTGGATTCGCAACTGTAAAATTTATATTCGTAAAAATTATACCTCACCTTCATTCATAATTAAGGACCTTAGTGATCTTTGTAAAATTAAGTGACTTTTTCTATTTGCTTTATTTTTTGTGTCCTCATTTTCAAAATATGTTTACATTTATATACCCATAATTCTACTGATATACCCACAGGTAAAAAAAATCATTTAATTTTAAGTTTTGAAATATATATTCGTTATGAATATTATATATACTTTGTTTTTTGTTTATCTTATTAACAAATAAATCGTAAAGCATCTAACTCAATCAGGACCATAAACTTACATATTATTATTATCACTTCCAATCAATTGCCGTGACTTTCTGGTAGGTATATCTAAAGCATTTATTTATTTTACTCCTCATAATAATGGGTACTCATCACTATTCAATTATGACCATGCACTCTCTAATTATTGTATTTCGAGACAAATCGAAGCAAACAACTACCGGAAAACAACACATAATTGCATGTAAATTATTGTTTTACATGCGTCTGATTATTTCCCCACTGAATTCCTATATAAGATATCATCGTCACATTTTATCACTTGAAATTGACATCAGTAATGGCTCTTCATCACAGACTATATGTCTGTGTCTAGAATGCCTATTCACCATGCTTATTATTAATATCATGCTTATCTCAATACACGATGCATCTGTGTCATTCTCACAGTTCTTTTCACAGGCTTGTTTCCGCCGACTTCAAACTATTATATTAGTTTATCTGTGCCCCCTCTTATGGATAATATCAGACTGCGCCCGCTGCAACAGGTTTTCTTCGTTCATTTACACAACTGTACGGCGTTTAGCTCTCAATTTAATAACATTGTTACTTCAAATTGCAATGTATAACAATTATTCTTTATTAATACCCAATGGCTACTAATAAACTTTTTTTTAATAACCTAAACGTTTACTATCAAAATTCACGCGGCTTGCGCACTAAATGTATCGATTTAGCGCACAATATTTTAAATAATGAATATGATCTTCTTTTATTTACGAAAACCTGGCTGCAGGGGGACGTTCTGAATTCGGAATTGTGTGACCCACGTTATGATTTCATTAGATGTGACCGTAACCTACGGGTAACACAAAAAAAAACGGGAGGTGGCGTGATGATATGTTCAAAAAAGGACATCAATGTAATTCATAGGACTCAATGGTTTCGAAAAAATCTCACGGAAACTTTATGCGTTATTCTGCCTGCCCGCGCCTTGCGCGCTTTATCTGATCTTCATATTATCCTCGTATACATACCTCCTGAAAGAAATAATATTCTGAAGTTTGGAAGACCTGAGGCATGATTTACATCTCATCACATCGCTTCACCCTTCCGATAAATTTCTTTTAATTGGTGATTTTAATTTTTCTTGCATAGCCTGGAGTAACAATAGTTACAGTCGCTCGCATAATCACTCTAATGTTTCATTCGATGAGGTATCAAGTTTCTTGGATGATCTAAGTTTCTTCTATCACAATACAACTACACACATAACTCAAAAGCACTTGATCTTTGCTACCCTATAGTTAAGGAAGACGCACACCACCCCTCCCTCATCATAGTAGTTCTTGATCTACATATCTCACCTCTGAAAGAGGGTTATTCTCCACGGTATAATTTCCATAAGTGCGACTACAACAAGATAAATACATTTTTTTTAGATAAGGACTGGACGAAATTACTACAGACTAAACCAACGGATAGCGCTCTTAACACTTTTTTACACTGTTCTACAGGAATGTGTAACGTTATACGTACCTCTTAGCAGGTTTCCTAACTTAAAGAATTACCCTGCATGGTACACTCCTGCGCTGATTAAGATTAATTGCGAAAAAATTTAAATGCATAAGAAGTGGAAACGCTTTAATAATTCATTGCACTATGATGAGTTCTCTCTACTTAGAGCCAGAGAAAAACGAATTCAATCGCAATGTTTCAATAACTTCACGCGGAACGCAGAGGAACATATCCGACGCAACCCTAAACACTTCTGGAAATATATAAAATCTAAAAAAACACCACTAATTTTCCGAAAAACTATAGAATTTGGTGATGATTATGTTAACGACGAAAATGAAATATGCTCTGCCTTTAACCGATTTTTTGAGAGCGTTTTTATAAAACCGAATAATGGTACTTATAAACCTCCTTTCGAGTATACATCCCCAAGCCTTGAAATACTTTCTAAGATTAACATAAATTACGGTACTGTAAATAAGCTCATTGGACATCTCAAAAGGCCCCGGCAGCGACGGTATTCCTTCCATTTTTCTTCAATCATGTGCGGACACATTAGCATCACCAATACTAAAACTTTTTCGTAAATCTCTAAGTGAATGCGTATTTCCAGTGCTCTGGAAACGTGCACAAATTATCCCTCTGCACAAAAAAGGTTCACACTCATGTATTGAAAACTATCGACCCATTTCAATTTTAAATGCCATAAGTAAAATCTTTGAGGAAATAGTTTACACAGACGTTTATCACACAATAGTGAAAGGTTTACCCAGTACACAGTAAAGGAACGCTCCACTATGTCTAACCTGGCTTTGTTTTCGGATTACGTGATTAATAACATGGAAGATTGAGGTCAAGTTGACGTGATCTACACGGATTTCGAGAAAGCTTCCGACCGTGTGGATCATAACATTCTTCTCCACAAACTTGAACTCCTAGGTATACACGGAGACTTGCTTCGCTGGGTGCGCTCATGTCTAACCAACCGGTCCCAGGCGGTCGTTTTAGGAGGTTACAGATCGGATTATATTGATGTGCCCTCTGGGGTTCCCCAAGGCTTGCATCTTGGCCCCCTCCTCTACAACGCTTATATTTTTGACATAAATACTTGTTTCAGTAACGCTAACCACATAATGTATGCAGACGACAAAAAAATATATATGCGCATTCGCTCAATTTCTGATTGTGAGCTTCTACAATCAGACTTAAATAAACTTTTTGAATACTTCATAGTAAACAGAATCACAATAAATATTAAAAAATGTCAGTGCATCAGCTTCACCCGTAATAGGAAACCTATTATTTTCTCCTATCATTTCAATAACGTTGTATTGGAGCGGACCGATGTCATGCGGGATCTTGGCGTTTTCTTTGATACAAAATTTCTTCTAACCGATCACGTATCTAGGATGGTTAATAAAGCTTACAGAAATCTGGGATTCGTTATGAGAACCTGCAAACAGTTCAGTAGTTCTTTGAGCATCTTAGTCGTTTACTATGTATACGTTCGTAGCATATTGGAGTACGCAAGTCCCATATGGTCACCATGTTACAAAACCCACACTTACCGCATTGAAAGGATTCAAAGGAAGTTTATAAAATAACTTAGCTTTAAATGCCACAAGCCCTTCACAAGCTATGCTTCAAGTTGTCGAGCATTTAACTTGCTCACTCTCGAAGCACGCCGCCGAGCTTTAGACGCATGCTTGGTATTTGATATAGTGCGGGGTCGTTTTGATTGTCCCGAACTCACAAATCATATCTCCCTTTGTGCACTGACACGTCGTACCAGACGTACGCCACTGTTCCACGTACCACATCATACTACCAATTACGGTAAGAATGCCATTTTCACCCGTATTGTCAACTCATATAACAAAAATTTCTCTGCAATCGACCCTTTCACCGAATCTAAGCAATTATTCAAAGACAAAACATATACACCCCTAAGCACCAGCATTTAGATGTCTTATTTCTTCTATGTTCTCTCTATGGTATAACGAGTATGAAGTGACTTACGCGCTCAGTGTTTGCTTGCTTTTTTATGTGGTTCAATTGCTCACTGTATTAAAACTCAGTTTAATTACTTTTCTTAATGACGATAAACATTATAATTTATTTTACTAACAATAGATCTTATCATGTCTCAGTATTATTTAAAAATTAATTAGTTCTAAGTAACACCTGGCTGCTTACGACCTCAATATAATTTAATCGTGGATAGCTATAAGTGACTTAGATTTAAATATGACACAACAATACATTTAGTATAAAAGCTGTTGTTATCCCAAATAAAAAAAAAATAAAAAAACTTTGAAATTGGAAGGCTCCCGTTGAAGACGGAATCACTTCTGAACTTCTTAAGATAGCAGGGGTATCTGTGCTTGAAGAACTAAAGAAGTTATTTAATTCCGTCATAAGCAATGGGACTACCTGGAAGGCGTGGAGCAGAGGTGTAGTGGCTCTATTTTTCAAGAAAAGAGATAAATATCTCTTGAAAAACTACAGACCGATCACACTTTTGAGCGACATCTATAATTTGTTCTTAAAAGTCGTCACAAATCGTCTTGCTAGAAGATTAGATACCTTGCAGCTATCGAAATAAGCTGGGTTTTGGAAAGGCTACAGTATCGCAGACAACATACACAGTTAGGCAAGTTATATAGAAGGCTGAGGAGTATAACCAACTGCTGTGCATAGCTTTTGTGGACTACGAGAAGGCTTTTGACTCCATCGAGACCTGGGTTATTCTGGAATCCCAGCGGCGATGCCAAATCGACTGGCGATACATAGAGATACCTACACAATACAGCATCAATGTCAATATATGTACAAAACCACCAGACAAGACTCAATCAGTTGCTTAGAGATGAGAGGCAAGGGGACGTTATTTCCCCGTAACTGTTTACTAACGCACTGGAGGATATCTTCAAGAGACCTGGAGTGGAAAGGACTTGGCATTAATGTCAACAGGGAATATCTCACATACATCTACTGCAGTTGGGTTGAGACAACTCCGATAAGAAATCACCAGGGGAGTGCAGCTGGGCTGGGTAGCCTTTGGGAAGCTGCGTAATATCTTTTCGTCTACACTGCCACAATGCCTGAAGACCCTGGTATTCAATCAATGCGCCCTACCTATGGGGCCGAAACGTGGATCATGACAGTGAAGTTGGCTCACCGAATACATGCCGCTCATCGAGCTCAAATGATTTAATAATGGATTTCGACATAGTATTGTATTCAAATGACAAATTGAATGAGGAAGTATTTAAAAAAAAAAAACTAAAAAGCAGCTCACTAGATGGCGACTCTAGCAAAAGTTGATTTTTGTAGAAAACGAATGGACCAAAGATAATCATTTCCGTTCCTTTTAACTAACATTTAAAAAACCGAAATTTCGAAACTTATATATCAATGCAAATACGAAAAAGTACAAATAGAATATGAGTTGTTCATTGAGTTTAGAAAATTATAAATTAATTTTATACATTAAAGAAAACCGGAATGTCATGGAGAAATCAAGAAAGTACCGTAGCGACATCTAGTTTGATTTCGGGAACAAATTTTTTTTTTAATACTTTGTCATTGTCAACAATGGTTTATATGGTAACGATTTAAAGCACTATATGAACTTCCACCCCCAATTTTATCCCTATATGTGATTTTTTCGGGATATGATATAAGATGGAGATATACTGCCGCGGACTTTCTTTTAGAACTTTTAAAGGGGATCAATTTC